TGTATTTGAAGAAATAATTGTATAGAGGTATTTTTTTTTCCATAGCTGCAGATATGTTTCTAATGAGCAATCATGTTTAAAAACAACTGGACTATATGGTGATCTCTTACTTTTACCTAGTTTGTTTCACTTTTTCTACTTCATAATCAGTGCTCCCATTTCATTTAGTTTATGTTTTCCAATTTCTCCATCTCTTCTTTTTTTTGATGTTCTTTCTTAAACCTTTATCAAATGTAATAGAAAAGCTTTTGTATACACTTATATAAATAATATATATAATATATGTATTTTAGAAAAAGTATGAATTTTTGCCTAACTAAAATATGTATGACATTTGATTCTACTTGTTTGACCTACTCTGAATAGAATGTTAAATTTCTTATTAAAAACTAGACATGCAACAAAGGTTTACTGTGTAGCAGGGAACTATACTCAATATCTTATAGTAACCTATAATGGAAATAATTTCAAAAATAATATATTTGTATATATATTTTTTAAAAGGCAGAAAATTACCCTAATCTGAGGAAGAAAACAGACCCTTTGGTATAGAAAGCAGGCTCCTCTCAATTCTTTCCAGTTTCTTGAGTGACAATTGAATTATTTTAAAAAGGACAGCACACTTTCTTTACAGCTTATTTTTATGTGATATATTTAAACAAAGATCATCACTCACTTATACAATTTATTTACTAGCAACAAAGAAAAAGAAGAAAAATACCTGACATTTATTAAGGGCTTGCTATTGCTTAGCCTAATTTTGAATTTTATCAACTCATTTAATCCTTTTACCAATGCTAAGAAATAAGTCATATGCGTTTAAGTTTAGCAATGTGAAAATCAGGATTTACAAAATAAAGAAAGTGAGCTTTAACCCATTTTACCCTTTTGAAAGTGATAAGTAGAAAACATATGAAGTTAATTTTTTTTGAAAGTATGATTTATTAATTTAACAAAATAAATTGTAGAAGTACTACATTTTCAAGAATATGTTTAGAATGTAAATATTCTGATGAATTTAATTATTTGTTGCTTACCTATAAGTACCTCATATTCCCTCAATGATATATTTTACTTACATATTAGTTCAGAGAAGCCCACGTTTTAATATAGTTTGACTGCTTCATAGTAACATTACAGTGTTATCTATGAAGAAAAACCATTAGTGATTATATATTTACAGACTTACTTTTTTCCCTCAGACCTCCTTGTCACTTAATTTGGTTTTTAGATAATTAAATTAAGCATAAGATGTTGATATTTTATTATATAAGTAATACCCAGGCTGAGGACCATTAGAGTTCATTTCTCCTGAATATCTCAACTTACATGAAAAACTTGTATCTCAGAGCTGTTAAAATCCTTTCCTTATTTTCTAAGCCAAAGCAGTTATGTAATAGCAAAGGGACCAAGTAACACCTTAGTGTAGAAGTGAAATATGGTTAGACCTTTTAGAAACTATTAAGAATCTAGCTTTTGGGAGATGATGGAATATTCTCAGAAACTTCTGAAATTGACATCACTGGAAGGCAAAGTAATGATAAAGGAAAAGAGCTTTTGCCCCAAGTGTGGTCACTTTTCCCTCCATTTTCTTTTCCAGAGTATGTGAACCCATGAAAGATTCATTCATTGTGCCAGATTCGGGCTCAGCTATCTTTCAAATTATTTTTCTAATTAAGCAAATAATTTAAATTTAGTTTTTAAATGAATTTTGATCAATGTTCAAAAGCAGTTCAGTTCAGTCGCTCAGTCCTGTCCAACTCTTTGTGACTCCACAGACTGCAGCACGCCAGGCTTTCCTGTCCATCACCAACTCCTGGAGCTTACTAAACTCATGGCCATCAAGTTGGTGATGCCATCCAACCATCTCATCCTCTCTCATCCACCTCTCCTCCTGCCCTCAAACTTTCCCGGCATCAGGGTCTTTTCAATGAGTCGTCTCTTTGCATCAGGTGGACAAAGTATTGGAGCTTCAGCTTCAGCATCAGTCCTTCCAGTGAATATTCAGGACTGATATTTCCTTTTGGATTGACTGGTTTGATTGCCCTGCAGCCCAAGGGACTCTTGAGAATCTTCTCTGATGCCATAANGTTTTTTTTTTTTTTTTTTTTTTTTTTTTTTTTTTTACTATCTATATGTCTTCTTTGGAGAAATGTCTATCCATCTTCAAAATATCTACAGGCAATGCATGCTAGAGAGGGTATGGAGAAGAAAGAAGCCTCCTATGCTGCCGGTGGGAATGTGAGTGGGCATAAGCTCTGTGGAGAACAGAATGGAATTTCCTTAAAGTAAATAAAACTGCAGCTGCCGTGTGTGTGCCTAATTGCTCATTCACGTCCGATTCTTTGCTGTGGACTGTGACCCACCCGGCTCCTCTGTCTGTGGGGGTTCTCCAGGCAAGCACATGGGGTGGGTTGCTGTGCCCTCCTTCCGGTGATCTTCCCCACCCAGGGATCGAAACCAGGTCTCTTGGGCAACTTTACCAGCTGGGTTCCTGGGGAATCCCACCTGGACATATATCTGAAGAAATCTATAGTTTCTAAGAATACATGCACCCCAGTGTGAATTGCAGCACAATTTGCAATAGCCTGGACATGGAAGCAACTTAAATGTCCATCAGCAGAGGAAGGGATAAAGAGGATGTGGTACATATGCACAATGGAATATTACTCAGTCATAAAAAAGAATGAAGCAATGCTATTAAACAGCAACAGGGATGGACCTGGAGACTGTCAAAGTGAGTGAAGTAAGTCAGAAAGAGAATGACAGATGTATCATATCCCTTATGTGGAATCTACAAAAATGGTACAGATGAACTTGTTTGCAAAACACAAACAGAATTACAGAAATAGGAAAGAAACATGATTGCCAAGGGAGGAAAGATACATGAGTGCATTGGGAGGTGGGGGCTGACCCACGCACACTCTTGCGTGTAAAACAGATGCCTGGGGAGAACCTGCCGTAGGGCACAGGGCCCTCTCCTCAGTGCTCTGTGGTCCCCAAATGGGAAGTGAATCGGATAAAGAGTGGGCATATGTGTATGTGTAACTAATTCACTTTGCTGCATGGCAGGAAACTAACGCGATATTACAAAGCAACTATACCCCAACAAAACTAATAAAAGCAGTTGTGATGAAATTTAGGGGCAGTGGGAGGTAGGATGGGCTTCCCCGTTTGTGCTGATGGTAAACAACCTGCCTGCCAATGCAGGAGAAGCCAGGGCCCCTCTTCCATCCCTGGATCAGGAAGATCCCCTGGAGGATGGCATGGTACCCCACTCCAGTATTCTTGCCTGGAGAATCCCATGGACAGAGGAGCCTGGTGGGCTACAGTCCATGGGGTCACAAAGACATGACTGAATTGACAGCAGGCACGCATGCATGGGAGGTAGAATGGCCTAAGAAAGCTCAGTAGTGTGGGCCCTGCACGGCATCCCAGTGGCGTGGGCAATGCACTTTCAGAGAATAATTATGCCAAATGTTCAACATGAAGCTGTTTGCACTTCAGAGATATGAACTTTCTTTGTCTTAAAGAGTTTGTATTGTTGATTCCATTTATATAAAACTGTAGTAAATAAGCAGTTAGACACGACTGAAGCAGCTTAGCATAAAGCATGCATGTGAAAATCGCAAAGCAATCCATACTGACAGGATCCAGATTGGTGGCTGCCCAGGGTCAGTGGAGGAGGGTCCTCGGGGGAAGGGACAAACTCATTCAGCATTTTCACTGTGGTGATGTTTCAAAACTTATCAAATTGAGCACTTTAAATATGCACAGTTTAAAAAAGTCATTTATATCAATTTGAAACAAAAATGAAAAGGAATGAAATTGTTTTAATGATGACAATACAATAACTAGTTAGCTTTTATATTTTCATTTTGTTGATTTTAAAATAAAGCAAATGACGTTGCCAACTCTTTCTAAAAGGGCTATGTATGCAATAACAATGCTGAAAATTATGTTACTAATTAGGTGTAATAGTCAGTGTTCATGAAGTGCTTGGCATGTACTACTAACTATGTAAGCTTTTTATAGTCATAATCTTATTTAATCTTCACAATCAGTCCAGGACAAAGGAACTATTACTATTGTAGATGAAGAAACCAAGAAAAGGAGATGTGAAATATAATAATTGACCCAAGATAATAGTTATTACTTGGAAAAACTAAAATTGTTAGCCAAACTGTGTGAAGGAAGAGTCCATGTTCCTAATCGCAACTGATACAGAATAAGCAAGGAGTTATACGGCAGGAAAGAGGTTCAGTGAACTAAACTGACATGGTGTCAGGATCGGGGTCACCACGGGCTCAATGTCAAGGCGGCTCTGCTGGTGCTACTCTTTGAGCTGAATGCAAGAAGAGGAGTGTTAGGAAGAGCATTCCGAGTGTTGGGGAAAAAAATCTTGCTATTAAACTTTGCCTTAAACAACCTAGAAGCCCATCAGCAGATGAATGGATAAGGAAGCTGTGGTACATATACTCACATGTAAATCCATGGCTGATTCATGTCAATGTATGGCAAAAACCACTACAATAGTATAAAGGAATTAGCCTCCAACTAATAAAAATAAATGAAAAAAATAAATAAATAAACTTTGCCTTATTTTCCAGATTATCTATGCAGCAAACTTGAAATGTAAGATACCAAATGTTGGTCTATCTTAGTATGACCCATATGACACAGAATTCAGACAGTCACTATGCCCGATGTTCCATTTCTTTAATTATAAAGATGTCTTTTCAAACAGGTTAAGATATCTGTATCTCTGTTTCTCTGTCTTTCCTTTTGTCTGTCTTTTTCTCCTTCTACAGTTTAACACATCAAAATTTACAAAATGCCTTTCACGTGTAAATCACAAAGAATGACAGAGTGGGTAAGACATATTGAGTAAATATGAACACTGGAAGTGAGCAATTTGTCTCTATCATTTATCAGCATTTTGACTCTAGATAAGCCACAACTCCAAGTCCTCTGATTCCTCCCTGTCCTTGGTTTTTCAGTTATCTGATAGCCAAATGCAACTTTTCTATAATTCTCTTCCGTGCGTTCTTTACTTCCTGATTCCTCAAGCTATAGATCAATGGGTTTAACATGGGAATCACTACCACATAGAACACCGAAGCAAATTTATCTGTGTTCAGAGAATGGCTTGAATTGGCCAGGAGGTACATAAAAATGATTGTTGCATAAAATATGGTGATGGAGGTGAGATGGGAAACACAGGTAGAAAAGGCTTTTTGCCTTCCTTCCGCAGAACGGATCCTCAGAATGGCAAAGAGGATGAAGACATAAGAAACGATCGCGCTCAGTAGAGAGCAAAGGGTGTTGAACGCAGCAGTGGTTAACAGCATCAGCTCTTTGACTTGAGTGTCAGAGCAAGCCAGCATGACCAATGGAACGTCATCACAATAGAAGTGGTTGACCCTATTGGAGCCACAGAAAGACAAGAGGAATGTTGCGACTGTCTGTGCAAGACCCACAATGAATCCATAAACATGTGTGCTAGCAATGATCCGATTGCAGAGTTTTTTAGGCATGAGGATGGCATAGAGTAAAGGTTTGCAAATAGCAACATACCTATCATAGGCCATGATAGAAAGCAAATACTGTTCACAAACTACAAATGTGATGAAACAGCACACCTGAATGGCACATGCATAAAATGTTATACTTTTAACTTCACAGAGAAAATTCACCAAGATGTTTGGGGTGACAGATGACGTAAAAGAAAAATCAATAAAAGCCAGATGGCTGAGAAAAAAAAATACATGGGTGTATGAAGCTGCAGGCTGACTTGAATTAGCACAATCAAACCAAGATTACCCAGGACACTAGCTAAATAGATTACTAGGAATACACCAAAGAGAGTGGCTTGAAGTTCTGGATTATCTGTGAGTCCCAAGAGGATAAACTCAGACACTGCAGAATAATTGCCTTTTGCCATAGTAGAGATTTAATTTTGTTTTTCTAACAATAAAACCCTCTAGAGCACACAGTCTGAATATTCTTGTCTCCCTTAGAGATAATCAAGCAGATGTTGGGAACTGATTCTGATCCACCCTGATCTTATGTTGGACACATTCAAAGGTGACTCTCTATGCAAATTCTGGTTTCAGAATGAAGTGATTTGTCCTCTGCAGAATTTCCAAAGTCTGAAATTCTGCGGGTTTAGAAAGATAGAAAGATGGCATTTTATTTAAAATCTAACATAATTGAAAAATTTCTTATCTATTTTTAATAAAAGAAAATAAAGACAGAGCTATTTGAGCACAATTTTTTTTAATTATTGAAATACTTTAAACAAATGTGCTGATTCTTTGAAAATTGTTAATTAACAGAAAACAATAAATTAAAAAAAATAATTTCAGAAGGGGTAGTATGAAAGGTAATTTTAAATTCTGACCATCTCTATATCAACTGTTCAGGACAATTTTTATTTTATTTTGTTCTCTTACTATGACTTCTACTTTTCTTTCAATTACTATGTAATATTTGGGAATTAAAGGGAGAAAAGCCCTTAGAAACATAGATAGTTTTGCTTTTTTGGAAATATGCATGGGATGATTAAAAAATACATTAAAATAATTCAGAAAACATATTTATCAAGTGGCTCCTAACATCTAAATGCAGAACAGGAGAAGAAAAAAATCAAGATAATTTTGTAGAACTAAAAACTGGTTTCTGGCTTGTTAAAAGAAACAGTTTGATTTTTAAAATTTTTCTACTACTTCATCTCAGATCATCTTTCCATCAACCCTATCAACTGGTGATAAGCTATCGTCTTCATTTTCAGATATGGAAACTGAGAGTGAGAGCTTAAATTCTCTTCCTGTTTCATGATTAGTGTGGGGTGAAGCAAAATAGCTCGTGAACTAGTTCTGGACTTCCTGACCTCAATTCATAGTTAATAGAAATGAACTCTTTTCATAGAGGCAGGCAAGAATTTCCCCATTAATCAGAAAATTTTGGAAAGGCGATATCTAAGTCTGTCCACCTTAAGTGCTTGAAATAGTGCCTTTCATGCAGTATGTGCTAAGTGAGTAAATTTTAGCTCTTAAAATGTGCTTCCCTCTCGGCAGCGCAGTAGCAAAGAATCCTCCTGCCAATGCAGGAGATGTGGGACACAAGTGTTGGATCCGTGGGTCGTAAGATCCCCTGGAGGAGGAAATGTTAACTCACTCCAGTATCTTACCTGGAATACCCCATGGACAGAGGAGCCTGGCTGGCTAAAGTCCATGAATCAGACACGACTGAACACACACACATGGTTTTTCATTTCATTAGTATTAATAGTATTCAGATTTAGGCTTATTCTCAAAAGAAGTGACTGCAATCCCACCATACCAATGACTGTAGGTTATTCTTTTTGCAATATTTTAAGGTGAGGTCTTTTCTCATTGCCTCATTGACTTGTGCTCTCAGATCATTACCTTTCCTGGCTCTTAATTTTTCTGGTACTTATATTTCTCTGATATGTTGGTGTCTGTGTAACTCTTGCTCTGATGTTACCAAACTCATAAATATCTTCAGTCATTTTAGTTTCCTCTCTTTAAACTGAAACTTGGATCATCCTTGAAAATGTATTTCTCTCCAGGTTTCCAAAGGCTGTTCCATTTGAAACTATCCACATATGTTAAATCTTGCAGGTGAAATAAGGCGTTATTCATGTTGGAACCCTCTTTCCTGTATTTTGCTATGTCTTGCATTCAGGTACACTTCCCTGATGCTTAGAGGCTTATCCCCATATTCACTGTCAACACATATGCATCCAGATCACTCCCTCTTATTCACTGAAGGCTCTGGTATTGATGCCATCATGTTTGTTTTCCACAAATTTGCCATCAGTGTCATGAACACCACTTATGGGCTTCTTAGATCCTTGATCTTGGAATCAGCGACCCCACTGCTATTCCACTTGAGCATCCTACTCCTGTGATTCCATTTTGAAGCTTATTTTATGTGACAATTGATAATAGTAGCTTTCCAAAATAAAAAACTTATCTTATGATCACAACTTTCTGAGCTTTCCTTTCACATCAGTTATGACACTACAACTTTTTATGTATCCACTCCATCACTTAAACCCTAAGTATCCTTTACCTACTGTCAGCTTCTTTATTCAATGCTCACCCTAAACAGCTTAGACTCTGTGATCAATTGCCACAGTGGTTATTCACAGCATACAAATTTCTATTTCTAACATATAAACTTATATTTTGGTTCCCAAGCTGTTTTGTTCATCTTATATGTTCATCCTCTACTAATTTATTTGATATTCCCCATCAGTTTAAAAACAAGATACATGCTGAAATCATTACTAATGACCTGTGACTTCTTTTCCTTGTCCTCTATCCATCAACCCCTCTCCTCTTCATTCTTTCAGTACTAAACATCCTGGAATTTCATTTGCTTCATCTTTAGCATTTATATATCAACTTGTATTCTGAAATTGTTCTCAGCATAATTGTAATACAATTACTAATTCCAAGTTCACCAACAATCTCCTTCTTCCCTTAGGCAATGGAAATTTCTTTTATGTTGTCTCTGTAGCCCCAGATATTATTGACATTAGTTTTCATGAAAACCACTGTTTTGGTTTGGTTTGGTTTGGTTTGCAAATCATAAGAATCCCATCTTTCTGTCCACTTTTGCTCTTTTTGGTGGCTCCACTCTCTGTGTTTAATTAAAGCATTACTTTACATTTTGTTTCTAAGCCATCTTGTGTCATTTTTTGCACACTCTTGTGGAGCTCTCATCACATGTCCTGGGGATGGTTGTCACTTTTGTGTTGCAAAAGTCTAAATTTCTAAGCCAGATTTTGCCTCTGATCTCCAGGTATATTTTCAAGAGATTCCCAGACAACTTCATTTAGGTTTTGCACACTCTTGTGGAGCTCTCATCACATGTTCTGGGGATGGTTGTCACTTTTGTGTTGCAAAAGTCTAAATTTCTAGGCCAGATTTTGCCTCTGATCTCCAGGTATATTTTCAAGAGATTCCCAGACAACTTCATTTAGGTATTTCCAAAATACCTAAATATGGCATGCTCAAAAGAGAATTCAGCAATTCAAAATCCATCCTATATTTTTCATCTGCTTTGAAGCATGCCTTTTCTAACTCAGTGAGTGGTGTCATCTTCCAGCCAGTTACTCAGGCACAAAGCCAAGAAAATGTATTACATATATCTTTCTAAACTCCACTGATAAAAATTAGATACTGAACACACTAATTATTTAACATTTTTTTTTCAAACCTGTTTACTTGTAATTGAGGCCTCTATCACGACTTACCGTATTATTGTCCAAACATTTATCTTATCCATCCTTTCTCTGTTCATTGTGACTAGAGTGTACTTTCTAACATGCAAATCATAGCTTACTATTTCCTATTGACATAGGATATAGTACAAAAGTTTGGCTAACTTAACCTTTGATAAGGAACCCCTTCCTTTCACACTGGTCTCACTTCTGTGACATTTTTCACTTAATTCCCAGACTTCAGCCATCATGATACTGTCAGTTTCTCAAATGTGACCATGAATTTTGTACATACTTGAAGCAGAAACTCTTCCTTCTGTCTTTACAGTCTAGTTGGCTTTATCTTTCTGTGTATCTGTCAGATCTCAGGTGAGATTTCACTTCTTGCTAGAGGTGTTTCATTACTTCTCAAGGGTTACGCCTAACAATTCATTCACCTGTTAATTACTTTGTAAAATAATCTAAATATCAAATTTTTGAAAAAACAGATGGTTATTTTTCCATCTCCCCCAAACCTTGTAGGAGCTAGCACTGTTTAGAAACTCCAAATATACTAGTAGAATAATGGAACAAATAAATGCAAGTTTTGTGTTACCCTAAACCCTTTTCTACTCCTTCAGTTACCTTGATTTTTCCTCACTGCCTGCTGCCTTTGAGCAACTCACAATGAAACCAAAAAGGCGTCCAATATACCTTGTGGCAAACTCTGTGAACATCNGCAAATTAGTACAGCCACTATGGAAAACAGTGTGGAGATTTCTTAAAAAGCTGGAAATAGAACTGCCATATGACCCAGCAATGCCACTTCTGGGCATACACACCAAGAAAACCATATCTGAAAGAGACACGTGCACCCCAATGTTCATCGCAGCACTGATATGATTTTTATAACACCATTTTCTCTAGTAGAATAAAAGCATAAATAACAAAGGACCTTAAACATAAAGTATACAGAAGTCATCATATTTGTTTGCATTTTATTTCTAACCAATCTGTAATGATTTAACTCTCTGGTTTTTATTAGTTCTTGGTAGAAATTCAACAAAGTTGAAAAGAGATCTATCAGCATGCACAAGGCTACAGATGTCTAAAATACATTCCTCAATTATTTTAGGGAAATGTTTTCAACATTTTCCTTCTGTAAAAATCATAAAATCTATCTTCAGGATTTCTTGTTAGAGTTAATTTCACTTCAATCTTTTTTTCTTAAATTCATTCTATGATCGCTATTGCTTCAATTATCTAACTGCTTTTTTAAAGAAAACCCTCAAGTTTTAGAGGCCTGAAGCAACAATGATTTATTATCTCTCATGATCCTGTGGGCTAAAGACAATCTCTCTCCCCACTGTGGTGTCAGTTGGGCAGTAGGCTGGCTGTAGGGTCCATGAAGACCTCATTCAAAATGATGATATACTTGATGAGGCTGACAGCTGGATGTGATCCATGTGATGAGTGTCTGGCTTGGGCTTCCAATGAAATCATGGTGGTTGAGTTCAAACATTTAAAATTTCCCTGGAAAAAAAATTCTAGCCTTAGAAGCTGTACACTTTTAAGAATTCTATTGAAAAAAGCAAGTCACAGAGCTTATAGCTCTGAGCTACATGTTGGATATTTATGAAGACTATCAGATTTGATTTAGTCTCAGAAAGAGTAGGTTCTGCAAGTAATCCAAAGATGTTGGAAATATCTGTGTTGGAAAGAATGATTTTTGAGTCTCTAGAAAGCTGAAATCAG